ATCAGTTCTGAGCCTGCATCTAGTGGTGCAAATACTAATGGGAACTACAATAGGGTCAAAAAAGAAGCAAATCCATGAAATAATGAAAAGATCTGCTTTCATAGTGGGAACAACACCTCATTTGGAATTGATTCACCAACTTGGAGCGAAAGCGAATCGCAAACCAGTTTTAAGTGTCAGTGGGAACGAGCCCCAAGATTTCAAGCTCCTGAGGTACAGGGAATTATATAAGCTCCTGAGGTACAGGGAACTACATTCCCATATGTAGCATTATCATTTCCATCAGTAGCATTATCTTTAGCAGAAAATATCATCGTGGCTGAATGTGGTGAAAATAATTATATAATATTGAAATTAACAGGAGAGATGACACTGAACATTTTATTAGGGCAAATGGGCATACTCTGGAGCAGGGGTAGGCAACCTTTTTGAGCCGGGGGCCGGGTTGCTGTCCCTCAGACAATTGGGGAGCCGAAGCACCAAAAATAAAAAAATTTAATTTTTTTTTAAAAAAAAAATTAGAAAAAATATGCATGCACACTCTCTCAGCCCCAGAAAAGCCATGGCAAAAACCCTGTGGAGATTTTGCCAAGAAAACCCCAAGAACAAGTAATAACAACAATAATCAATATCATCATGGTGGGGGGCGGCGGCGGCCTATCCTGTTCTGGAGTAATAACACAGGGAAATAATACTGAGAACACAGAATATTTACAGGACATTCTGCTTGATAACTGTTTTGTCCTATATATTGGCTAGACTCTTTATCAGCTGAATCACTCTTCTTCTTAGGTACAAATCCCAGAGATGAGTTTCTGAAATATTCTGTGCATCTAAATGTTCTCCAGTAAGTGATGAGTATCCATAGTAGAATATTCTTATAAGGCTGGGTGTTGGAGCTGAATGATCTCTTGGGTCCCATTTGCTGGTTCTTGATTGTAAGAAAGAGGGTGTGGTTGGAACCTGCCATATGACTATGGCCTAGGCACATCATCTGGACAGACACATTTTTATTACATAAAGTAAGTTGATAGGTTGCCAGATAGATTAAATTGTTTGACCATTATCTTTTGAATGATAAGGAAATAAGCAGAAATTGTTTTGGAAAGGGGGAACCATTTTAGAGAAGGAGGCATGTCTGGGATAAAAAGCAGTCAAGGGCAGAGATAAAACTGAATTTCTATGCAGGGGCATCATGATATAACTTTGTGGTGCGACAGCATGTGTATTTGTAAACAAACACATATTACAAAATAGTCATAAGCCTCCACTGATCTCATTCCAAAACTGGGGAAATCCTGCTTCCCCGAAACTTTTTCAATGCTCAAAAAATTACAGTGTGCATAATAATATATTCTAGAAATATGTCTTTTTGCTGCTAGCTGTCACTGTTTAGAATATACTATCCAGATGCCCTATCTCAACCTAGCTTTAAATTTATCAGACCCCACAAGAAGCAGTTAATGCATTTATAACCATCTAGATGAGCCTTTAGAAAAGTCATTCCCAAAGTGGGTGGTATGCCCCCCGGGGGTGGTGGAATGATTTTGGGGAGTAGTGAGGGAAAAGGGGGAACCAGCAGCCTTTAGGACCATGGTGGGGATGAGGATTGCATGAAACTTATTTTCAGGGTCCAAAAACAAAACAAAACAAAACAAAAAACCACCACACAGCCTTGCTGATCATTTTGTGTAGTGGTGTCTCTGCTCTTTTCCTGCCCATGTGAGCTCACTCCCTTAGTCACATCTTTTGATAGTAGTGGCAACTTGGAAACTCTCGTGAGGCTTGAGCACAAGGCATCACTTCTGTGACTTGAAATGGTACCATTTTGGGACAAACTGGAGCAAAGAGATAGAGCAGATGGTGGCAGTAGATGGAAGCTTTCAAATTTGGGACCCTGCTTAAGCTTTGTGAGCTTTGCTGAGACTTGACTTGCAGGTTGGAGTTGCACTTCTGCTCCTGCTTTCTTTCATCAGACAGACTGCGAGAAGAGGGAGTAGAAGAAATATTTGTTTGTGGGAGACTGGACACTTGAAGCCGTGAGGGGAAGACATGTCTCTGGTGAAGAAGTATCTGTGCTTAATTCTTGGAAACAGCCCCTTGTCTTGGAGCAGATCTTATAGTTAAAATCTCTTCCTTTCCAGGTCCACACCAGTTTCCAGTCCACAGCATATGCCCTCTGTAATCTCCCCACACACGCACACTGGCTATGTCTTTTCCTGCTCTGATAAAGGATTGAGAGTTCCTCCTCTCTGGGGAGAAGATTCTCCCATGCACCTGGTTATCCTGGAAGCATCAACTGAACAGCTGGCTGAGCAGCAACCAAGAGACCTCTTGTCCACACTGGCCTTTGCTGCAAGGCTGGCATGGGCGAGAGGTTTCTCAGTCGCTGCTCCCAGGGTGACAGGGAGCAAAGGGAGCAGCGACCAAGCAGCCAGTCAAACAGTGACAAAGAAGCCTCTCGCCTGCACTGGCCTTTGCTGCAAGGCTGGCACAAGCAATAAGCTTCTCAGTCGCTGCTCAGGCAGTTGTTCAGTTGCTGCTCCTAAGATGACTGAGTGCAAAGAGAACAGAGACTGGGATTGGATGTTCTGAATTTGCAGTAGAGCACTAGATCTAATATCAGAAAATATGCAGTGAGAGGGGTGCTAGGGTTGTCGCCCAAGAGATGAAAGGGGGCGGTAGCTTGAAAATGTTTGAGGACCACTGCTTTAGAAGACTTGTCTAGTGCATGACTGGAATATGAGGCCAGATATTGTACAAAGTTTCCATTTGGCCTACCAGTGTCACACTGGCCTAATCTCCTGATCATACTGTGCAGCTTTAAGAAAATTTCCATTGGTGTTGAGAGGCGTTTAAAAACCTAATTGCCTTATGTAGGGCAGGAGCATAGGGCTGCTGCTGGGAACAAAAAATCCTACTCATTACCACAGTAAGGCTTTTAAAAGCCTCCATCAACACCAGTTTAATGATAGGCTGAGTTATGACTCTGGAGACCAGAGTTCAAATCCCCACTTGGTTATGAAACCTACTGGTGACATTAGTCATATTTGGATTATTTATCGTTATCTCAGCCTCAGGGGAAGCCAAAGCCAAACCCCCTCTGAACAAATCTTGCCATGAAAACTCCATGAGAGGTTCCAGCAGACTTTTAATATGTAACCACACCAGGGAGACTTTTTTTTAAATTGGGGTGTGTATTTGATTTATTTCTTAAGTTTTGTACAGTATATTTTAAAATAATTTTATATTGCTTTAATTGTGATTATTTTAATTGTTTTTAAAATTACACTGAAGATTTCCTTTCATGAGCTGCCTTGGTTCTCACTCTGGGAGAAAGGAGGCATATGAATAAAATAAAATAGGGTCATCTTAAGGTCACCATAAATTGGAAATTACTTGAAGGCACACAACAAGAAGAAGAGCTGGCCATGATTTTTAAAACAAGAAACTGCAGGTTATTCCCCCCAGTTGTTCTTTTATTTATCATTATCAGTACAGAAAAAAGTTTTCTTTTCCCATGTAAATTATAGATTACGAAACAAAATCATCTACCCACCCTGCAAATAATCTAGAAAAGAAAAAGAAAGGAAGGGAAAGGAAAGGAATGTTCTTAGGTTCAAAACAACAGCTAGTCTTGATCATTAGGTATGTATATACAGGAAGTGACTATTTGATAGCCCAACATGGTTAGCTGGTTGCAGATCCCCTGAAAGTGAGTATATTAACAGAGAATACAAAAAAATAAATAAATTTCTTAGACTCATTGTCCAGAACACTGCATTTTAAAGCAGCTTTTTGCTAGATCCGAGCATTGTCTCTTCCAAATGCCAAGGGCACATTTTTGCATATGGTGTTGACTTGCTAAACATACTTTGTAAATAACACATTTGTTGCATTAACTCAACAATATTTTTCTTGTGCATTGGCAATATGTAGCAATACCAGTTCAACTGTTATTCCTGTTCACATAATCTCCATTGCCTTTTATTGTGAAGAAAAATATTTTCTGCCATGGCCATTCAGGAAAGAAAGGAGTTTGCCTCTGAGGTGTCCTATTCACAGGCCAGCTTCCCATCAAAGCTGGACAGAGCAATGGCAAAGGCTTGCACAGCACAAAGTGGGTAGTTGTAATCCATGGTAAAAGCATCATCAGCTACACGACCAAACTGCAAGACGATGTAGTCAGCTGTAGTAAAAAAGATAAGGTATCATAAGTTCAGAAGTTGCTACTATGGTAAATAATAATCATAATAAAGGTAAGGACACTTTTTGGCTCTCTATGCCTGGCATGGAAGAATTAAGCAATGGTTGACAAAAGCTCAAAAGGTTCCAGCAAGGCATAGAGAGTTTTTATTGTTTTTATTGTATTATTGTATTTTAACTCTTCAATAGTTTAATCTTGTTTTAATGGGATGGGAGGGCTATATTGCGGGATGAGGGAATGTTTTTAACTTTGTATGTTTTAATATGCTGTAACCCGCCCCGATTGCTGAGCAGAGAGGCAGGCTATAAATAAAAAAAATATATTATTATTATTATTATTATTATTATTATTATTATTATTATTATTATTATTATTCTGCACAACAACTTCGCCATACTCTTGATTTAGTGTGTTAGTACTAATCATTATGGAATGAACACCAGCAGCACCACTGAGGAATTATGTGGAATAAGATGTTTGTAAGTTGATTTGAGTACAGATTGCACAGTCCCTCTGTAGATTTTGCAAACATTCTTACCTATAGAACAGATTAATTGTGGATGAGCATGAGCCCAAACATTGGTGCTGCTTATTTTTCAAGCCATTTTGGTCTGCTCCAGTAGAATAATAAAGTCTTGTGACATCTTTAAGACTAACAGATTTGTTTCAACATGATTTCCTGTGGTTTGCAACCTACTTCCTTAGATGCATGGACATGCCGATATTAGTATATCTGAGGAACTGGAATGTAATTCTCAAAAATTCATGTTATAAAAAATCTGTTAAGGCTAAATCCAAGGGCATAGTGGTTTGAGGGCTGGACTATGACTCTGGAGATCAGGGTTCGAATCCTTGCTCAGCCATGGAAACCTACTGGGTGACTTTGGGCTCTCTCAGCCTCAGAGGAGGGCAAACTTCTTCTGAACAAAGCTTGCAGAGAAACCTCCATGATTGGTTTGCTTTAGGGTCCCCAGAAATGACTTGAAGGCCCTCAACAACAACTACGTAAACTTGAACTGAAGGGAACTTGTCACTTGCCACTCTTATAAATACCATTGTGTGCTGGGTTTTTAAATGGGTCTTCTCTAGTTGGAACTAAAATTGGATTTAACCTTTTTGATCTTAAAAATGTCAACACACTTTTTGATATGGTGTTACATACTCCCCACATGAATCACTTATTCACAGAAAAACTGAAAGGAACTATCCTTAAGCCACATCACCATCCCCTACTGTATTTCAGTCTTGGTCAGAAAGTTCAATTCAAATAATAATATTATTGTCATATTGTTTGCCAGGGGTAGGCATGTAGTCTCCATGGGTATTTTTGCACCCCTTGTTTCCCATCTGATTCAGGATCACCCTTTTTCTGGTTAAGCAAAAGGTAAATAATCTTGCCATAAGCCTCCAGGAGCAGCAATCTATCGTTTAAATAGGATTCTGTGCCCTCTTACACTGGTTTTAAAAACAAGTAGACCACTGGTCACATCCAGGTTTTGATTTTCTTTTTTCCTGAAAATTTCAGTACACTGTGTGGCCCCACTCAGACAGAAAATTACCCATCCTTGGATGCACTGATGTTGGCAAACCTTGTTTTACAAATATGAATGGAACCTGGATGCTACTGAGATATGATCATCCTCAGAGGTGGCTTTCCTGTCAAAGTCTGCCTAGAAATAGAAGTTTCTGTATAGTTTGTATCCCTTTTTCTATCACAAATGCCCTGTGGCTCATATGCAGCTGAACAAAACTGTATTGCTGAGGATGCCTCAGCTCAAATGCTAAGGAGACGAGTGCGGGATGGGACAGAGCGGAGGAAGCACGCACCAGAGTTCAGGAGTTGACTGGCCACCTGCTGGGCAATGCATGGATGCTTCTTCAACAGACCCATGAAGTGAGTACATTTCTTTTTCCAGCTGGGTGAGGAGAGCACAAGAACCAATATATGCTGCTTCCCCCCCCCCAAAGAGCTGCCCCCTCATCAGAAATTCCTAAACAAGACATTTGTGGCATTTGGGAGGTCTCTCTGACTCACTGCCTTCGGTCATGACTCCCTTTGTTACCAGTGAGGGTAAGAAGAAATCTGTAAAAATAACTGGGGGCCCCAAGCAGGTTCTTTCTGTCCCGTAATCCTACACCCCAGACAGTAACATCCTCTGATTGGGCTGGACAGGTGACAAGCAGACAAGTCACACTCTCTGTAAATATTGCTTGGCTGCTTCTGTTTGCTGCTCAGAGGTGGATTCTATGGCATGCCCACGGCCCCAACACTCTCCAGGGAAGGAGGTGCCAGGGGTATAATATTTTGTCCTTGTTTTGTATAAGAACAGCTGCTTCAGGCATCAAATAGAATGACCAAAAGCATTGCCAAGAGGCTTTGACTCAGATTCTCAGAGGCACACAGATTTCTAAAGAGTAGGCATTCCACTTACACAAACAGCTACATGTGCAGATGAATTCACTGAGCATCTTACTGGAAAGCACAATCTGCAACCTATGAGTGATCACTTTATCCAATCTACTTTACTGAATCTGGAGGTGGGGTTGTAGTAAGTACTGTATATACTCATGTATAAGTCTAGAAATTTAGGTTTAAAAATTGCCCCCCCCCAAAAAAACCCAGAGTCAACTTATGCACTGGTCAATGTAAATACTGTACTTTAACTCATATGTGTGTGTGTATACAGTCATCCCTCCATTTTCATGGACTTCAGGTCCACAATCTTGGTCCTTTACAGACCAGCAAGCGGGGAGGGTTAAAAGGGCACGCACACCTGAGTGAGCAGCCATTCAAGCCTATGGGGTTTGAATATTTGCAGATTTCCATTTTCATGGGTGTGTGTGTTTCTGGAACAGATCCCCATGAAAATGGAGGGATGACTGTGTGTGTGTGTGTGTATACACACACACACATACACACATATATATGTACAGTGGGCCCTTCCTATATGTGGAGGATCCATTCCGGACCCCCTCACATATGGGGAAAAACATGTACACTCAATCCCCATTTGTTTCAATAAGAGTACACCTGCGCATGCACCATTGTTTCTCCTGCATCTTCCCTTCCATGTAAGGTTAAAGCCGCATATGGCGCACCCGCGTATGGTGCAGGCGTGCTATATATGTAACTATCCACTTGTGAATGAAAAAAGTTTAATCTGCCCTGGAAGCACTAATCCCCTTCCATACTCCCATCCATCCAGCCTTTAGTATGAGCACAAATAGTTATGCCTGTAGGGTTGTGTTGTGGGTTTTTTGGGGTTGTTTTTTTTTGGGGGGGGGGTATTGTTTTCCTTTGCTTTGTCCTTTACATCCTTCATTATATGCCCTTGACATATCCATGGGTCATATAAAAATCCATAATTTTGGCCCAAAAATCTACCCTTGATTTACACATGAAGTTGACTTATAGTCGAGTATATGTGGTGTATCTCATTCACTCTCATAATCAATTATTCTAGTATGACAGTCCTTAAATGAGCTTCAGCTCTGATCTGCACATTCAGGGAATGGGTCAGAGATGGAAATGATTCAGCAACTCCAGCCAGGACCATGGGTTCCCTGTCCATCCCCTTGTCACTCTGGAATTAGTGATCACTAAGTACCCAATCTTTCCCAACCGGGCACCTTCAAATGTGTTGGACTACAACTCCCATAATCTTCACCAACATGCAGTCCAACACACCCAAAAAGTACCAAGTCAGGGAAGGTTAAGGTAAACAATGGTCAATTTGTTATTTGGGGAGGAAAGTGAATCCTGTGAGTTGTGTGAGTAACCTAGATCAGTCAACAATAGCATATCGTGGTTTTCCTTATTTAAGTAATCTGGTGTTATAACATCCCCATGATAAAACTGTATGGATTTTTATTATGTAAACAAGTTTATATGCATGTCTCTGGCAACTTGAATCCCAATTGAGAAATTCAGTGTTTTCTTGAGTTGAAGGGATCAAAACGGAGCCTTTCACACTACACAGTTATAGTTGAGTGGGTCCTTAGTATCTGCTGGGGTTTGGTTCCAGGATCCCTTGTGGATACCAAAATCCCATTATGTACAATGATGTAGTAAAATGGTGTCCCTTATATAAAGTTATTTAGTTATTTTATATATTTTATATTTATTTTATATTTAGTTGTTGTTATTATTATTATTATTATTATTATTATTATTATTAAAAAAACAAAGCTTGATTTTGCCTTTATATAAGGGACACCATTATTATTATTATTATTATTATTATTATTATTATTATTATGCCTTGGATGGTTGAATCTGTATATGCAGAATCCATGGATATGGAGGGCTGACAGTACTATGCTTCCATTTGCAATTGCCATGGCTTTACACTATGGAATCTTGGAGTTTGTAGTTTGATGAGGCACTAGAGCTCTCTGACTAAAGAATCTAAATGTCTCTCCTTGACCTGGAAATCCCAGGACTTCATAGGTTGTTATCATGGTGATTCAAGTGGAATCATTGTGCTATAATTTTGTAGTGTGAAAGGACCCTCTCCAAGAAGTTTGTTTTGCTGGCCATTTTAGATGTATCCTGATCTAAAACTGGATTACCAGCTTAAGTTATTGGGGAATCTTTGTCATTTGTTCAGAGTTCACAAGGGTCTCAAACAAAGAAACAAAACCAAACCTATTTTGCATTTTTGGCAAGCCAAGATGCTTAGCAAACAACTCCAAATTTTATTCCAGGCTGCCTACCCTCATGCACCCTCTAGTGGATCATTTGTCACATGCTTTGCTGCCTATGAGCAGTATGTTAGTTCTGGTCTGACTGTAAACAAATCCATCACGTTTTCTTCCAGAGATTACAGTTAACATATTTCAGGAAGTGTTCTCAAATTGTAAATAAATAAAGTAGTCCAGCTGTCTGCAAACAGGGGATTCTTAACCCAACAGACTCAAGCATCCCAGACAGCCTTCTCACTTTCTTAATGATGTTTTTTTCTGCTTTAAATATCATCACCTCAGGCCTAAATTACATTGGGGATATATGTGCTTATGTTGAAGACAGTCTGGGTTAAGATTGAGTCACACATGGCCTCTGTGGCACAGTTACCTTTTGAAAAAACAGCCTCTCACTGATGCAACTCTCATGTGGCAAGCCATTCAAGTGAAAAAGCTGCCTGTGTGATCCTAGCCATTACTGTTTCATTGAAATATCCCCCTCATTATCTGGCCCTCTTGGAAGCTGGTTTCACACAGCTGCAGATTCAATCTGTATAACAAATAGCATGTACAGATCAGCTCTATAGTAGTTGTTACGCACCCAGATTCTTATTTTAGGGCCTTTACAGACTGCCAGAAATAATGCAGATTGAGTCCAATTTAACTGTCCTGGCTCAGTGGCAGGGAATCATGGGAATTGTAGTTTTTTTCTGGGACATTGAGCCTTCTCTGTCAGAGAGCTCTGGTGCCACAATAAACTACAGTTCCCTTGATTCCTTAGCACTGAGCCAGGGCAGTTAAAGTGGACTCAATCTGCATTATTTCTAGCAGTCTGTAAAGGCCCTCAGTTCTGACAATCAATCAATCAATCAATCCCTTTGCAGCTTTGCTATGGAGCCAATAACTCTTGAACCAACCCTGTTTGATCTCCACTTTCACGGGTCAAAAGTTTTGTGGGACTTACGGTCATTGCTGTGCACAATCTGGAAGTTCTTGACGGAGGCATGAGTGACTCTGCCATGGAAGTTCAACACATAAGACTGGGTTTCGTCATTCCACACTGGGGCTTTGTTATGAAGTTCAATTAAGTTGTCCATGATCTTATTCTGCCACCTTATAAGCAGGCCATCGTTATCCTTGGGAAAAATGAGAAAAACACTAGAACTAGTTGTCCAAAGATACTAT